TTTTTCCGGCCGGCCTTTTGGCTAAGATTCAAGTGTAGTATCTGTTCTGATCAGTTTAATATCTGATCCGTGGTCCATCGGGCCACATAAAAAAAAAAGAAAAAAAAAAGAGGCCTTCAGAATCTTCAAAGAAGGTTTTACTAACGTCCTGTCTTGCCTGCAAGATTGCTTGCTTGCTTGCTTGGTTGCTTGATTGATTGATTGCCTCCGGCTAGTGGCTGTTGAGTGGATGAATTTTGACATACTGAATACTTCTCTAAGGCAATGATCATTTGTTAAAAAAAAAAAAAAAAAAAAAAAAGATAATTTAGTGGAAATGTGGCAGCTGTTGAAGTTGTGTGCTGAAAAGACTTGCCTTTTTTTCGGGGGGGGGCGACTTTCTCAGTCATGGTTTCTGAGGCACGATTCCAGTGGATCCCCTGGGGCCTGGGTTGTGACTCGGGTGGGGGGCCATAAAAAAAGTAAAAAAAATGCAGTAAGAATTATGTTATTATTCTTTAATTTAATCTTATGGGTGTGCAACGGTGAATTCAATTGGGACGCCAGGCCCGTTTCCCAGCACATGCTGCTTGCCAGGAATGGAATTCAGCTTGTTTCACTTCAAAAAAAAAAAAAAAAAAAAAAAAAAAAAAAAGATTGATTGCATGCCAAAGTTTGTCTCTTTCTTCTTGTTTTCTTTTCGGGAGCAGGAGGGGAGTTAACGTAGGGGAGGGGAGTTAACGGGGGGCGGGGTCCTGCGTTGCGTTAGTGAAGAGAAGGCGGACAGACAATGGACGTTTGGGGCTGAATGGTGCACACACAAAGGATCTGGTTTTCAAAACACCATTGGGTCAAATCTTATGCATACAAATAACATTACGGCCCGGGGACCAAAACACACACACACACACACACACACACACACACACACACACACACACACACGCACACATTAACGGGGCTGGGTAGTCCGCTTAGAAATTTAAATTCAAATGAAGGCAAGCGAAGAGGCGGGACAATTCTGGGCATGACATGCGCGGTATACCTTTTTTTCGAATTTCCTGTGTCTTAATTTACATTTAACGTTAAAACTTA